GATTACTAACTCAGATCTGAAGCCCCAAGACTTGCATTCCTCACGGACGACTTGCAAGTCAAGGATGGATAGGGCAACCCTTCATATCCGAAGATGTCCCTGTCCGTCGCCCGCTGTTCATTCATTTTCCACTTGGTTGTCCATTGAATGGCCTTCATTTCTTACCTTAAGCACTCCAAGCCCAATCATCACCCTAAATAGCAGTTTCCATTGGATTTTCCATGAACCTTATGTCCCCCTATATACAGCCCCAATTTAAGCTCTATATCTTGGAGCAACCTGCCCTAAACCCCAAGCGCTAGAGTAAGCCTAAACCCTAAATCCTAAAGCAAGGTGAGGTGGAACATCACTGCTTCGGGTTCCAACTTCTCTCTCAGCAGGCCAGCAAACTGCATAGATTCGTGAACCAGCTTTGCATGGAAGAGTTCGGATTTAGGACTTACCTGGACCCCCCAAAGTATGTGGAATAATGTTCTTGTGGGCTCTTTTCTTTGGCCATGGGTTTACCTACAGACTTTTCAGGTCCAGGGTGGGTTAAGGTTTGGGTCATAGGGTGATGGGGAGGCCTTTCCTGAACTTGTTTTTTATCAAGCTGTCCTGGGGTTGGGTCAGAGTCATCCCTATTAAGGTTTAGGCTTTAGGGTTTAGGGTTCTAAACCCTAAATCAAGTCCTTAAACACTAGTTAAACCCTAAACCTTGGGAACCCCCCATACACATATACATATACACATGCATATGTAGGTATGCATGTATCATACATGCCCATGCACACGGTGGTTTGTCTGAATTCTCCAAAGCGTATCCTATTAGGGTCGTGTCAGCTGAAGTTCTGCCCATGCAGTCTTTCGTGTTGGATTTGTAGTTCTTTGGCACGGTGCAGCACAGACAGACTATTTCGGGCATGCCTGAACGCTTGGCACAGGCTCTGTACACTGAACCCTTTGCCACAAAGGCCTCCACCATAATTTTCCTAAACCCTAAACCCTAGAATGCGAAGATATTCCCGACTCGCTGTAGGAGTAAATATCGTAGTTTCCATTTTCTTTTCCATTATCCTCATATACCCCCAATGTACCCTAAACCCTAAACCCTAACCCTAAACTCCAAAGACTCAAAGGTTAGGCTTTGGAGGCTAGTGAGCCTTAGGGTTCATTTGAGCTGCTGAGTTTAGGGTTTAGGGTTTAGGCCCTTGCCAAGTGGAGATAGGGGCCCCTCTTGTAGTGTGTGGCATGTAGTCTTTGGTCTAGTCCCTCATGAAGAAACCATGTCCATGAATTATCTGGGGAAGTCTTGACTTTAGCTCATATGATTGCCATTATTATTTGCAGTATAATGTGTAGTATTATCATTAAGGTCATTACCCATTAGTATTACTGTTATTAAGCATTTTGTGGTGTAGGGCCCCTTCGACATAATTCAATCTGCGGCTTTTGGGCTCGACATAGTTCACATGATTAGCCATGGCTTGATGACAGCGTGACGTTGGCAATGCGCCGTTGTCAGCATGGACGAAATGCAGCAAGCCGCATACATGCCCAGCGCGTGGCCAGACGAAGCAACTTACCATGTTTGGTTGTTTCGAGAAATAGCGGAACCCAATATAAAGCCCAAAACTACAATCCTTACCATGGGGGTCCCGCCCAAAGGGGCCCCTAACCGTTGGAAACCCTTATCCTTACAAGGCCCCTAGCTAGAACCTACACAATCCTAAATAATCCCATATACTCCTTAGATCCCCTTCTAGAGGTTCCCCTAGTTTGGGAACATATGTTTTGAGACAAGGTGAAGTTTCTGGGGCACTGAGAGCTTTGGGTTCTGAGTTGTCAGGAATCTAGAACAACCACCCCAAGCGGCTGGGAGGGGCCCTTGTATATCCCTTTATGAAAGCAACAGCTGGGGTATGAAAGGGCATGGATCCCTTGAGAAGTCTGCACAAAGCTTCCCAGTTAAGGTTTGGTTAGGAATTAGGGCCATTGCGCCCAGTCCTTCGATCCCTGCTAAGCACCAGGGAGTATGATCCTTGTGGGTCCAACATTTGAGGCACCCTGGCCGTGGGAGTATGCATGCTCTTGCTGACATTGGGCACCGCTCTTCGCCATCCTCATGTGTCTGGGCTGCTATATGTATCCCTCAGGATCCAAATAGCCCAGGGTTGGAAAAGTGAGGTATTATTCATAGAGTTAGACCCCTGGGGTATGTATATATGTATGCAAATACACAGCTAAATCTATGTGATTTGGGCCGCTGGTCTGCAGCAAAACCAGGTGCACAGTGTGGCGTTCGACATGCCAGCGCAGTGGGCCCTCGTGGGTAACTTTGCTTTCAACTACACGCAGTTTAGGATTCAGGGTTCAAGGAGTGCCAGGGGTGTGGTGGGTTTATGCTGGGTTTTTGCTGCGTAGGGATAGTCTGTGGAGAATCAAGTGGAAAGAAGATTGGACGGAAACTTGGATTGCTGGGGGATTGTTGGTTTGGGGGTCTTTCTTAGTAAGAGGCAACAATGGCAGAGAAAGCGTGCTACCCCGCCCCTTTAGGGTTTGAGGGTTTAGGGTAGCCGTACTTCCCAAGAAAACGATGCCATTCTCTTGTACACAGTTTGTCTGCAGCCCCCGAGCAGCTATGATACTCGCAGCACCATTTCACAGTAAAGTGTGCTACGGGCGAAATACGTAAGGCAATGTAACAGATGTCCTTTGGTAGATGTCCTGCCGCACTTACGAAACGCAAGTATAGTAATTGACATGATAGGGGCTACATCGTACTGTGCAAGATTTGCTCCGGGCCTAAATCGCGAACCGGCGACTCAACCAATGCTCACTCATGAAAATACTGGATTTGCACCATAGTATATACCTAGAGTAACCAATGTACCTATACGAATTATACAGAAAGGTGCCCTAAGCTCCTAAACAGTGAAGATTTCAAATATGTTGGTATCTTGACTTGTTTAAAGGGTTTAGGTTACTCTGGGTAGGGTTGCCTAGAAATATTTTTGAATGCGTGCAATTGGGCCCCAACTTCAAAGTGAGACGCCAAGCTGACCTCTGAGCTATAGTCTAAACTCTCCTCAAAGCGGGTTATATAGGGAATTATATAAGAGATTATTATAGGGGCTCTGAAGGGGATACTTGGAGTTTAGACTGTAGCTCATATGGGCGGGGGTGGATTATTCCACCATAGTCCCTAAACCCCTAAACCCTAAACCGCGTAAACTTATTCAAGCCCTAAACTTAGGGCAGCGGGCAGTCACCCAGCGGATGAGACGCGTTGTCAGCCTGCAAGCTGGTGACGATGAAGCTTTGGTTTTCATGTGTCCATAAGCCCTGAACATCCTACATCCTGAGCCCTTAGTAATAAAAGGGTTTTGGTAACCCCAACCCACAAAATTAGGACCCGATGACTATCATATGATGGTCATAGGGTCCTAATTTTGGGGGGTTAGGGTTACCAAAGGCCCCTTATTTCTCATTAAATCTCGTGTCTCCCTATAGGGCCCAGACATCCTAAATCTGGAGTGACTTGTGAGATTGCCGTTGACGGAAACCTCTCTCTCAAGTATGAAAAAAACACACTTTGACCCTAATGCTGAATGTTCCCCATAAGAGACCTTATACATCCGGGGACACATTCAACATCAGGGGTTGGGGGGCGTTTCAGTCCGTTTGTGCAGAAAGATTCTTCGCGGGTCCGTTTTTGGAAGCCTCTACCCACTGCTAAGTTAGGAACGGAAGAAAGGATCCTGCTAAAACCTGGATGGATTCCCAATGGTAGAAAAACCTCTTCCTAAACCCTATATAACTCGTTATAGTAGTTTCAATTTTCTTTTCCCTTATCCTTATCCCCATATATTCCTAATATAACCCTAAACCACGTTGCCTTTTTCGTTTGCATCCCTTGAACCATCAACGCTAGGTCGATAATCCTCAACCTTGACGCCTACATATAGTAGTTTCCCGAAATAGGAGTACTATATCTATATATATATATGGATATATATATATATAGGCTAACCCCTCCCCCTAGGACCAACCTTGCAATGTTCCAAAATTCCAAAATTCCAAAATTCCAAATTTCTAAAATTCCAAAATTCTAAAAT